TGTTGCTGCTGTTGCTGCTGCTGCTGCTGCTGCTGCTGCTGCTGCGGAGATTGCATTTCCTGTCCGTTAATAGGAGAAGTGACTTTCGACTCGGCAGCCTTGGCATTTAACTCCATCTCTTGTTGAATAACAGTCTCCAATTCTACATCAAGATCTTCCACTAATTCGTCCATCTGTTCCCCGATCTCCTCAATAATTTGATTGCTCTTGGTTGATTGTACGTCGGAAAGGAAAGAGAATAGATTGTCAAGATCTACCGATTGCAAATCCGAGGTAGCCATTTTTGAATTCATCTGCTCGGCCATCTGCGACAGCGCGGCTATTTCTTCTTGCACTTTCCTGCAAATTTGAAAACATTACATTGAATGCATTACTTATTATCAATTAAAGAAGCAGATGCTGGTGTTACGAGCAAAATAAATTTCGTGTAAGAGACATTCGATAAGTTGCAACAGAAATCGAAAATTAATGCTTTGGGTGAATTTAAACGCTGAAAGATAAGTGATTTTCAATAGAAAGATATAAGTAAAGAATAAACTTCAACTACATAGTATATAATAATTTAATATTAACTAATTATAATACTACAATTAATCTGAATACCCAAAAATTATGATGTTTTATATTTTTATAACATTTATATCTTCGTGCGCGAATTTTCGTGCGCTTTATATTATTCTTCTATCCAACTTCTTCAATTACAAACGTGTAATTTTCTATGATATAGCGTTTAATATGTCACAAACAATGTTTAATATAAAACCATGCCTGCGTATATCAAACAAGGAAACGATAACACTTGCATACGTTTAAGGTACACGCGATAATTACTTAGCATGCAACGAGTGCATGCCGTCATACACGTCACACGATCTTTTCCGTCTTGAACTTACCCAGATTCCATCTCGGCAATACCATCGTACTGCGCGCTATAAAAGGAACACAAACGGAAACGATTAACGCATACAATCGAGTGGCACGCATAATTAATCGGATCCATCGGCTATCTCGCATCAAGATTACCACTATTGTCGTAAGCAAAGTCGGTTCACGGAAGTTAAAAAATTCTAACAGAATTGGTCTCACATACCTCTGGCTCTCCTCTAACGCCTTCTTGTCCTCCATCAGCCTTCGTTCCTCCTCTAGCCGTTCCCTCTTTCTCATTTCTTCGTCGACTCGTCGCATTTCTCGTAGAGCCGCGGCCACTTCTCTTGCGAAGACACCTCGCAAATGACTTTGGATCACTATGGCGGCTCTGCGCTTCCTGATGAACATTATTCGCAGCTTCCAACCACGATATGCATGCTGCACTTTCAGTGCCGCTTCCCTTAGGCGCTTATACTCTGTTAGAACAAAGAATAACAATTATAATATATTACAATTATAATATATTTACAATTATAATATTTACAATTATAATTGTCAAAAAGAAATAATATCATATTAATTATTCCAAATAAACTTTGCTTATGACAATAGCAACATAAAGTTTATAAAAGATCTTCAAACTCCGGATATACAAAGATATACAAAAGAAAATACGAATCGTACCTCGCCGTTTGACGTGTCCTCGCCAAACCTTCTGTATCACAATGGCATTCCTCGTTATTATCTGGTTTCTGGAATCCTCCAGAGGTTCATGCACGTAGCTTCGCAGGAACACCTTCGTCCGGCCAATTTGCCATTCGGTTTGCGGTATACCTTGTCTAGCGATCAAAGATCTAACCGCCTCCTTCTCATTGCAGGAGAGCGAGGATCGGCCTTTGTCCAAGCAGCGATATCTCGCGACGAAATCATGGAACGACATGTGTATCGGGAAGCCCTCCTTACGTATGCGTATGATGTCAAGCATACCGAGATACTTAAGCTGATCCATAACGAGTTTCTCGTCATAATGATTGGCCATCTTCTCCATATTTGGTTTGATACAACGCGCGTACCACGGTGTCGTCGCCTGCAACACGTCTACTAGAGCCTGCAACTGATGTCGAAATGAGTCGCAGAGGGTTGGCTTGCCCTTGGACGTTCCCCGAGACATCGTGGTGGTTGTGCCTCCGGTCGCGCGCGCTACAGTACACCCCAATAGATCCTGATAAACGCTGATTTCCTGCACGAATTCATTGGTGCTTCTCGACATGAAATCAAAGAATACATCCTGCTGTACATCCCGGTTCTTGTCAACGAAACCTTCGACGGTGTACGTCACGCAGCCGGCGTAGTGCTTAACCCCGAACTCTTTTTCCCATTTCCGACGGTCATCTCCCTTGACGTAGCATGGGTGGCTCTCAAATTCAGCGTGCAAGTTCGTCAGGTAAGCTAAATCCGAACCTTTCGGCATATGGCACTGCTCAGTGAGTAATTTAAGAACACATCGCGGGGGCTTCTCAATCAGCTCCAGGCACATGGTGTTATCCGTGAATGTAATGTGAGAATACTGGATTTCCTCTTGATGATACTAAACATACATCCATTCATTTTTTTATACAGGAAATAAATATATATGATAATACGAAGGTTTATAAATATAAAAGATAAAATTTAAAATTTTAAGATTCAGAAAAGAACAAATTGCGTTATTGAACTATTTGAACACTTCGAAGTAGAAGACGTTCGAATTTAAATAATTTAAATATGGATATTAGAAAAAAATGTAAGAGAAAATAGCGAAAATATTTGAGATCTTAGTTAGTCGAGTTTTTTTAATATACTTTTAAATTCGAACAGACAACTTAAGATTGTTAAGACTCGTATTAAGATTAGTGTTCAAATTGCTCGTTCACGTGAAAATTTTAAACAGATTAGATTAAGCTTACGAGTTCTTGCTCCAACGCGAAGACGTAGTGATTGAAAAATTTGTGCAGCTTCTCGTTCGTGTAGTTGATGCAGAGCTGCTCGAAGCTGTTCAGCGTGAAGTTCTCGAATCCGAAGATGTCAAGAACTCCGAGGAACCGCGAAATATCTTGACCCGGATTTGTGCAGTTATTGATGTGGTTGATGAGCCAAGCGAAGGTGCGGGAATAGAGTGCCTTTGCCATTGCGTGCCTGTTCTCCCGAGCCTCCTGCACCTTCAACGGGATCTCCGTGATATTACCGCGAACGTTTATCTGTCGTATCAACACCACCTTGGTGAGATCCTCCACCTGAAGGCCCAACAACGGCGCCACCGTGTCAACTATGTTCCTATCCTCCTTCGACAACTCGCATCTCTCGCCGTCGACGTCCTCGAAGTTTAAATTTCCGAGCCACAGGATGGCCGATAGGACCCGGAAGATGCCTTCGCACATTTCCGGTGCGATCTGCACGCAAGCGGATAATAATTATTTGATAATAATACGAGTAATGCGAATGCTCTTTCTCGAGAGGAAAATACCTGAAGCACATTGAAGGCGAGCCTGAGAGCGTCGAGCTTTTTAGAGTCGGAAATTCCGTCGATCTTCACGCAGCCGGACTGATTGAGATATTTGTAGTGGCTGGCCGGTCTTAGCTTATATTGCTCCGCGAATTCCTTGTCCCTCGTGCCGGCCTCGACCAGCTGATAGAACACGTGGTAATTGCGCTCCCCGGGGCTCTGAAAGGTGATGCGACTCTGCTCCAGCAGGTAGTCTTGGATGATGCATCCCTTGATCATCCACTTGTTGTCGAAGCATACCTGCATAAACTTGCCAAAGCGCGAGCTGTTGTCGTTCCGCACGGTTTTTGCGTTGCCTGTTTTTGCACGATAAAAAATAACTCTCGTTAATTAAGTTCTTAAGTTCGCCCCGAACTTAATTAGAAAAATCTCACGAATTAAATCTTTTAAAAATACCAAAAAAATCTCACAGATCTATTATCGTATTAAAAGCACTTTTTTTTCTTATAATACACATTTTAGATAAACATTTATTAGAAATATCTCAATTTCAATGGTCAATATAGAGAATCTAATTTTTTTTAGGTTCATTTAGACGCAAAATATGAATTGTCACGAAGATAAATAATAATTTCAAAAATAGAAAAAGCCTCATTCATGCAAATTAAATGACAATAAATGTTTTATTCGTAACATTTCCTTCTTCAATTTATTTCTTTTCCTCGATCGACCGCATTTAACATTTCTTATTTACACTGTCACATCCAACTTCGGGTAATTAATCGCGATTATTTACCTCCAAACGATTAGGATCCATTTTATTGTCTCTATTTATCTCTGTTTGGTTGGAATGCCGATTCTTGTTTAACTGTCTATTATCGCGACGCGATAAAATTTAACTCTGACAGATATAACTTGTTTGAAAAAACCCTCAACTCAATTTTATCTTTTTCTTAGTATTTGATAGTTTTATATATATAAAGTAGCATACATCGAATTTATCTTATATTAAATCATTTTTCTATACACAAATTCTTGAAAATTAACTTTACATCAATGGAAATATTGATAATTTTCATAATTATATATTAAGCTTAATTAAATATTATAATATGTAACATACTCAATTTTCGGCATATTTATTTAAGATATTATAAACATACTTAAAAATAGCTTCGCAAATTTAGCACATCTTGTATTCTGTTAGTTCTGAAGATCAACAATATCATAACTTATTCTTCGTATGTAACTATTGGTTACGTTTATTATACTTTCTAATCACTCAAGTTTCATCATAATAATTGAGAAATTATCTTATCGTAGCAATCAGTTGCTACTAGATTAATTTCTAATCTATTTTATTTTAATAATACGGATCGAGATAGAGATTTTTGGGCAAACATCTTCGAATAAATCGTGTAAAATAGGATATTCTGGTAGTGGGTGTGAGTTTGCGCGCGCGGTTACGTGTTAATTTTGGGACGGAATGTTATTAACGGACGATTACCGAATGCCTCGAGGATGGTATTGGCCTCCAGAATTTGCTGCTCTACCCACGTGTCGACGTTGCTGGTAACCGAGCACAGGTATTGCAGGATGAACTTAGTGGTCTCGGTCTTGCCAGCCCCGCTCTCGCCCGATATTACACAGGACTGATTGCTCGCGGTGTCTTGCAGAGACTTGTACGCCGCCTCCGCCAGGGCGAACACGTGTGGCTCCAAGGCGCCCATCTTCTGGCCGTGGTATCGATTCACGTACTCCTGCGAAAAGACGAGGAAGACGCCCTTTTCGGTGAAACAGGTTCCGGCCGTTAACGAGGTGCCGCCGCTCCTCTTTGCCGCGACCTCGCGAGAATGGGCGGTCTTAAAAGCCCCGTCCGCTTCGCGAACAGCATTCCTGCTGCACGAAAAAACGAGAAGCGAACTCGGTCTATTCTAGTAGAACGTAGAAAGTTTCGTGGACGCAGATAAAAGACCGACAAAAGCCCCAAAAATGTTTGCAGCAAGTCATCACGCATTAAATCGCATTTTAAAAGATCGCCAGTCTTCCGTCGTCGTTGTTGAAGTGCAATGTAATTTCATGAAGAAAGGCATTTTATATTGCATAAGATTTAAAAATAAGATAAAACTTATTTAAAAATATTTACTCGCGTGTATTTTTATGGCTTGGGTAGCTATAAAATCGGAATCTTTGAAGAAATAATTTTCCTTTGAGGAAAAAAAATCTTGAGATAAAATTCTTTGAGATTATTAAGATTACTATATTTTTTTTTTCGATAATAGATGTCTTGTTAATACACAACGCATATGCTCTTCATAAAGATAAATAATGTTATATGTGTTTAATATTGCATAATCAATATGATATTATTGATTACATTGACGCAATGTAATATAAGTGTGCGTGCACATACATTTTTTTTTTCATATTCTGCCTTTAGCGTGAATAAAAAAAAAACCATGTCAGGACCTTCGTGCCCGATAACGTCGCGATAATCCGACAGGGGTTTGAAAATGTGAACGCGAGTGTATCGCGTCAACCCCGGTAACCCGATTAATCGGCGACGACACCCGATAGGCGCGTGCAACGATGCGATGACCGAGTTCCACCATCACCCTCTTCGTTCATCCTTCTCCCCCGGGACACGAATACACATGCACAAGCTCTGCAAAACGCCGCTCTTTGCCTGGGCCGTCGCTGTCGGCCGTTAGTCTCGCAGCCGAAGTAGTGCAACCCAGTTTCGCGTCGGACCGCCTCCGAGCGCCAGCCAGTAGGATTGCGTTCCGATGTCGGTTACAAGCGGAAGAAATGCAATCGCCTGGAATTGTCACGGTGTGATAACAAGAAGACACATAGCGCCGCGACAAAACGAACTTACAAACCAGCCGGTGACGGAAAGATCACTAACTCTCAATGGAACCTCGGAAAAATCGGAACGATGGCCCGATGAATTATTTCTAGCCACTGAACGGGAATAGCATTGCAATTTTTATTCGCGATTTTTATGTGCGACTCCTTTAACGCTTCGACTCTTCGATTTCTTCAGAAAAAATTAGAGGATTGACGATGTTATAAAGACTTTTGTTAAACTAATATCCCAAATCATAGCGTATGCATCATATCGTACGAGATTAAATACTGTAAATTTATAATACTATAAATTTTTAATTGATTGTTTCTGGAATTAATTTTTCAATATTTACTTTTTTATCTTATATATTTAAAAGTGGGAATGATAAATTGATATAAGTCTGACTTTTAATTTCAACTGTGAGAATTTCTTATTAAACAAATTGAGCT